AAGAGAAATAATATTTATTTAAAGAAACAGACGATTACATGACTAAATGAGGAAACCTAAAATACTAACAGCTGAACATGTGCAACAGTTAAAATGGTCTTTGCAACTGAAAACAGTGAGCAGCAACATGAACACATCACTCTACTCTGTCAGCAGGTTCAATGTGCCGCTCTTTAAAAACACAAATACATTTCACTACTTGTTTAGTTTTGGTAGACTAAATGAATTATCAGTGAATTACTATGTATTCATGTAAATGTTTAACTGATTACAAGAATCATAATGACTTGTTTTAGGACACAAATCTTTATGTAACATAGTTCATACCTAAACATGAATCTGATGGAAACTTCAAACATGTGTTAAATGTAAAGTTTTATGTATATACATGAATGTATATTTATACATTTATATTTATTTATTTCTCAATGAATCTTTCTAGTAGAGAAAGGAGTCTGGATACTTGCAATCCTAAAGCAGAGGACAGTTAACAGAAACAACAGCAAAACAAATGTCAGCAAACGTGTTTATTAACTTGCAGTAACACATATGCACATATGTTATATTTTTTCTATGAATTGTCCCTTTTTTGCTTGCAAGGCAGTCACCCTCCCCTGCAGGATTATTTTCTCCAAAATTGTCCAAATCACATTGAGAAAATGATGAAAAGAGAAACATTTATCAATAATGTTCACACGAGGATGTGAACTTAGAAGATTGACACATTTTACACAGCAGAATATACACAAATTCACATAGAAATCATTTACATGGATGTGTTATTGTGGGTTTAAATTAATAAAAGAAAAAGGTGACAGTCACAACTGTCATCTGTGTGACAGCAACAATAACACATCAGAAGTGTATTGTCCTCTCTACTGGTTGTCCTATTAGTGAAGGCTTTATATAGGAGTAGAGCTAATGTAACTGTAACCTTAAGTACAGGATGGTCAAATGGAGATATAACAGATGGACTAATGTCTTCATTCAAAGCTACGGTTGCTGAATATCTGTCCCCGGTGAAGAGGCCGTCGTTCTCCCCCCTCAGCTCCTGGCTCCCTGTAACTAAACAAAATGTAGAGTTAGTTTTATTTCACACCACAAAACAGAATGAGCAAAATACTCAAATTCAGTTTATCAGTGTAGTTAATCTCAACGTTTGTAACGTTACCGGACTTAAAGTGATATTTCAGGTTCACAACCGGTCTACCTGAGCTCCTGTTGGTCCGTTTATGGACATAATATGAAGTATAAATCATCTGTAAAATCGTCACAATCTCAGTAAGATATTAGTCAACCTCTGAAGTTTGAAAGTGAAGTTATTAAAAGTTACTTTCCAAGGCTTAACTGCCGCTAACGTTAGCTAGCTTGTCATCTAACGTTAGCTAGCTTGTCAGCTACAAATGTCACGTAACTTAACCGATCATTTTAACAAACATGTGATGTAATAAGCTCCCGGTAAGGGAGTAACGTATGTTAACATGAGGCATGACTATGTTAGCTCAGGTTAGCTACGCATGTATGATACAATTTAAAATAAATCCTATGAACTTGGTTTTCTCTGACCGAGAAAGTGGAGCTTCATGTCAACACAGCAGCCCTCCATGTCGTTCTTTAGAAAGAGAGAATCCACGACACTAACAACATGAGAACAAAGTGAAGTGCTGCTACATTTAAAATCATTTTTGACAAAACAGAGCAATATAATGGCAACTTACCTCCATGTCGCTCATCACAGTAACCTCCCGTCCGTGTTCACAGTGGAAGCAGATACCGAGAGCCAAGTCGAACCCACCAATAGAAACTCCTGGCTCATTCAGCAGCCTATGCCCCGCCCACTACATCCAAACTCAACTCGTAGTTTTTCGTTTTGAAAGCGTAGCTTTTTGATTTCCAGCCAAAAATTCTAGTTTCATAAGTAAAACTAACAAATAATGTATTCTCAGTTTATATATTTGTAATTACAAACTTGATTAATGATTGCAGTGCGAGAAATTTGCTCTCAAAACATTTTTTTGTTTGTTCGCGTAATAAAGACACAAACATACCTTCATACTAAAGACCTTGAGCCATTGACGCCAAATCACATTCTCTTGATGAAAGGAAACCACGTTTTTGCCACCTGGACTTTTTGAAAAAAGGGATCTGTATATAAAAAGGAGACGGAGACAGACTCAGTATTTGGCTGATCTGTTTTGGAAAAGATGGTCACAAGAATACGTACCATTGCTGCAAGAAAGGCAAAGATGGAACGAGGAAAAAAGATTTTTTTTATCTGGAGATATCGTTGTTGTTGATTCAACAGCGCCTCGTGGATACCGGATACTTGGAAAGATACTCCAGACATTTCCTGATAGGAAAGAACTAGTGCGTTCTGTTCGTCTGCAAACGAAGACCAGCATAATTGAAAGACCAGTGACAAAGATTTGTCTGCTTTGTGAAGGAACCGACATGTAAAGAATAATGGTGAAAACCCACAACCATGTTTCCAACACATGGAAACACGCTTTATCAATCGTGGGGAATTCTCATGGAATTGAGTGCTTCAAACAGTACATTCTTGTTTCTAATGTAATGGCTCCTGATGTAAAACTTATAAATAATTGTTTTGTCTGCTGCCGGAACCAATTTAGGGCCGGTGTGTAAGAGACATTTTGTTATTGTTTTGTTTCATACAACCTCCCACCACTTGGGGGCGTAGTGCCGCTGTCAATGAGGCCACAGGTGAATATAATCAGTGGGGTCACTTGAGACAGGTGGTTGCTAGTAAGCAGAAGCAAACTGTTTTTGACCGTGCGACATTTAATGAATGTAAATGTTTTTTTTGTTTGTTTTACATTTCCATTGTTTTCCATATTGTTTGTTTAACTATTTAGGTACTGAAGTAAATTTCCAATCCCATATTTCAATACATATTGCGGTTACTTCATTAAATTTAAATCTATGTACATTTACAGCAGCTGACAAAGTAGTATTAACAGCGTTCATGATGTGAAGAACAGACGGAAGCAAAAGAAAACCTCTGCTGACTTCTTTCTGCCGTTGAGCTTCGGGGTTCCTGCAGTCGCTCCGGAAGTGATGCTGCTCTTCTTCTTCTCTTGTTTCAGGATCCTACATCTCTTCTTCCGGCGGAGTTTCGTCCTAAAACGGTGTTTCTTTTAGGCCGAGGAGAGCAGAGAGGAGTCTCCGTCTAAAGAGGAGTTAAGAAAGGAAAAATGTGCAAATCGCTTAACTTAAATTATTACACCATAACCAGGAGTGGAAGAAGTTATTCTGATGTTTGTCGGTTTGTGAAACACAACATTAACAGTTGGCCCCTCCTCCCCGGCTCAACAGCAGGAGAAAGACAAAGCCTGATTCACTCTCATGTTAGAACGAGCTTTGTCCGCTCGGGGTCTCGCCCCGCTGTGTGTCCGCCATTTTTATAGCTTCCTCTTGGATGCACCATTTCTGACACCTGGTGGCTCAGTTTATTTAGAGGTTGACGCTCTCTCTCTGCAGAGTAAACCACTTCTAGTGGGTCAGAAGTGATCATTGAGACACATTATTTTTATATGAGTCCATGCATTGTTTTTTAGGAAAGTCCTCCTCATTCCTGTCCACCAGTTTATGGTTGCTGGAGATTCATGTTGTTCCTGAGGAGTTTTCTCAGTCGTCACTCAACCAGTGAGTGACTCAGCTTTTACAACAGGTGGAATATTTTAACAGCAACAACAAATGGAAAATGTGCAGATTATATCAGGTCCAGTCATGACGTCATGAAATGAATAAATGTGAATCTTGAAACGCTGCTTTGCATCAGAATCATATCTTGAAACTCAACTCTTGAGACAAATGTTTAAAAGTTGATCATTAAATATGAGAGAAAGGTATTATACGACAATTTAAATGTTTCATATTAGTTTAATTTGATAACTCTTTTGTCAGCCAGCTGTTTTTAAGCAGTGAAAGAAAACTGAACAGAATTAGTCTTTTGATGGCTTCATGTTTGTCTGTAACTCTTCCTCTGAGGAGACAAGAAATATTTAACAACTAAAGAAATGAAATGTTTTCAAACGTGGAGCAGGTTTTAACCGAGGCTCTGTTTGTAAATGAGGAAACAAAGTTCACATTCACAGCGCTGCTCCTCTTCCTGGAATGAAGCACAGCTTGATAACCCCTCCTTCTTCCTCCTGCTCTCACACACAGCCGGCTCCACTCTGTCCACATATCTCCTTGTTCCCTCCCCTTCAGATCTACAGTTTTAAAGATGGGTGTAACCAACATGGCGGTGAAGCGATAGAGCTGACAGCCTCCATTCACTGAACAAACACATGTTGTTCAGATCAGAAGTCAAAGCAGAGTCGCTTCTAGTGAAGTGAAACTCAGACAGTCGTTGTTACTGAGAGGTGAAATGGCGCAGAAAGGAGTTCAGCTGGATCGGGAAACCTTCTCTTGTTCCATCTGTCTGGATCTACTGAAGGATCCGGTGGCTACTCCCTGTGGACACAGCTACTGCATGAACTGTATTAAAACACACTGGGATGAAGAGGATGTGAAGAAACTCCACAGCTGCCCTCAGTGTAGGCAGACCTTCACACCGAGGCCTGTCCTGCTGAAAAACACCATGTTAGCAGTTTTAGTGGAGGAGCTGAAGAAGACTGGACTCCAAGCTGCTCCTGCTGATCACTGCTATGCTGGACCTGAAGATGTGTCCTGTGATGTCTGCACTGGGAGGAAACTGAAAGCCATCAAGTCCTGTCTGGTCTGTCTGGCCTCTTATTGTGAGAAACACCTTCAGCGTCATTATGACGCAGCTCCATTAACAAAACACAAGCTGGTGGACCCCTCCAAGAAGCTCCAGGAGAACATCTGCTCTCATCACGATGAGGTGATGAAGATGTTCTGCCGTACTGATCAGCAGTGTATCTGTTACCTCTGCTCTGTGGAGGAACACAAAGGACACGACACAGTCACAGCTGCAGCAGAAAGGACTGAGAGGCAGAGAGAGCTGGAGGTGAGTCGACTAAACATCCAGCAGAGAATCCAGCACAGAGAGAAAGACGTGAAGCTGCTTCAACAGGAGGTGGAGGCCGTCAATCGCTCTGCCGACGAAGCGGTGAAGGACAGCGAGAAGATCTTCACCGAGCTGATCCGTCTCATGGAGAAAAGAAGCTCCGATGTGAAGCAGCAGGTCAGATCCCAGCAGAAAAGTGAAGTGAGTCGAGTCAAAGAGCTTCAGGAGAAGCTGGAGCAGGAGATCTCTGAGCTGAAGAGGAAAGACGCTGAGCTGAAGCTGCTCTCACACACAGAGGATCACAACCAGTTTCTACACAACTACCCCTCACTGTCACCACTCAGAGAACCTACAGACTCGTCCGGCATCGATATCCGTCCTCTGAGCTACTTTGAGGACGTGACGGCGGCTGTGTCAGAAGTCAGAGATAAACTACAGGACGTTCTGAGAGAGAAGTGGACAAACGTCTCACTGGCAGTGACTGAAGTGGACGTTTTACTGTCACCTTCACGAGCAGAGCCCAAGACCAGAGATGAGTTCTTAAGATATTCAAGTGAAATCACACTGGATCCAAACACAGCAAGCACATGGATGTTATTATCTGAGGGGAACAGAAAAGCAACATTTAGGAGAAAACAGTCTTATTCTAGTCACCCAGACAGATTCACTAAATGTTGTCAGGTCCTGAGTACAGAGAGTCTGACTGGACGTTGTTACTGGGAGGTGGAGTGGAGAGGAGGAGTTGGTGTAGCAGTCGCATACAAGAATATCATCAGAACAGGGAGCTCTGATGAATATGGATTTGGATTGAATGACAAATCTTGGGCGTTAGATTGTGACGAAAACAGTTTTATATTTTGGTACAACAAGATCCAAACTCCCGTCTCTGGTCCTCAGTCCTCCAGAGTAGGAGTGTACCTGGATCACAGAGCAGGTATTCTGTCTTTCTACAGCGTCTCTGAAACCATGACTCTCCTCCACAGAGTCCAGACCACATTCACTCAGCCTCTCTGTGCTGGACTCAGGTTTTATTATGGTTTTGGAGACACTGCTGAGTTCTGTAAACTAAAATAGTCAGAAGTGATTTAAGGAACAGCAAATTAATTTTTGTGTTTTGATCCTGAAACTCATTTTGTCTTCATCATTGTCGCTTAATTGCTGATTGATCTTCAGCTGTCAATCAAACATTGTGGGCGGTGCTTTGACATCTTCTCATCATTGTTGTGTAAATGTTTGAGTGTCTTTAGGTGGAGCTCCTTTCTGTGTCTGTTTAGCCATGGAGGCTATCACTGCTCATGATGACCTTTGTTGACCTGAACTGATATTTCTCTTCATGAAAATGTAAACTGCTCTGAGGTTTAAATGTTTGATAAATATTAGTATTGATGTATTTGTTAGTTGTTTCTCTTCCACTGCATGGCTCTTAAAGAGAGAAATCACCAGAGCTTCTTTTATCAAAGAGATTTAGTTCTCAGCACTCTTTGTAAAGATTTCTTTCAGTGAAATTATGTTTATTTTCTATAACAGATTAAACGTTGTTCTTGTTTTCTTAATCGTTGTACAAAAGAGGTACTATGATGTATTATATAACTAATTATTATCATCATAGTCAATAAGTAAATCATTCATTATTCTCTTTAAAAAACAAACAATATGCTTTATGAATATTTAGTATTTGACTCTGTTCATCAAACCAATTTACAAAATGGTTCCAATTAAAAAAAACATCTCTCAATGTCAAAAAATCTAATCTGCTGAAAGTCTTCAGTGAATAAGTGAATTAGCCACAGGTCTCATCCACAGGTTTCCTTTGAGTCCTGATTGATGAAACTCTGAGCTTGAAGAGTCATATTCTGTTTGTTTTCAATAAAACATCTAAATCAACATCGTTGGCAAGTTTCAAAGTTTGCTTCACCAAAAGTGTTCAACAACTTTCTATGAAGCTTCATTTATCCTGACCTCATTTCCTGCTCTGTTTTGGGGAGCCACTTATCCCGCTTAACTTTATTAGCTTTATGTTTCTACAAAGAAGCACTTTGTATCAAAGTGAAGTGTGAAGAATAAAAATCAGTTTGACTCATTTAAGAAAACTCATGTCTGACTTTAAGAGAAATAATATTTATTTAAAGAAACAGACGATTACATGACTAAATGAGGAAACCTAAAATACTAACAGCTGAACATGTGCAACAGTTAAAATGGTCTTTGCAACTGAAAACAGTGAGCAGCAACATGAACACATCACTCTACTCTGTCAGCAGGTTCAATGTGCCGCTCTTTAAAAACACAAATACATTTCACTACTTGTTTAGTTTTGGTAGACTAAATGAATTATCAGTGAATTACTATGTATTCATGTAAATGTTTAACTGATTACAAGAATCATAATGACTTGTTTTAGGACACAAATCTTTATGTAACATAGTTCATACCTAAACATGAATCTGATGGAAACTTCAAACATGTGTTAAATGTAAAGTTTTATGTATATACATGAATGTATATTTATACATTTATATTTATTTATTTCTCAATGAATCTTTCTAGTAGAGAAAGGAGTCTGGATACTTGCAATCCTAAAGCAGAGGACAGTTAACAGAAACAACAGCAAAACAAATGTCAGCAAACGTGTTTATTAACTTGCAGTAACACATATGCACATATGTTATATTTTTTCTATGAATTGTCCCTTTTTTGCTTGCAAGGCAGTCACCCTCCCCTGCAGGATTATTTTCTCCAAAATTGTCCAAATCACATTGAGAAAATGATGAAAAGAGAAACATTTATCAATAATGTTCACACGAGGATGTGAACTTAGAAGATTGACACATTTTACACAGCAGAATATACACAAATTCACATAGAAATCATTTACATGGATGTGTTATTGTGGGTTTAAATTAATAAAAGAAAAAGGTGACAGTCACAACTGTCATCTGTGTGACAGCAACAATAACACATCAGAAGTGTATTGTCCTCTCTACTGGTTGTCCTATTAGTGAAGGCTTTATATAGGAGTAGAGCTAATGTAACTGTAACCTTAAGTACAGGATGGTCAAATGGAGATATAACAGATGGACTAATGTCTTCATTCAAAGCTACGGTTGCTGAATATCTGTCCCCGGTGAAGAGGCCGTCGTTCTCCCCCCTCAGCTCCTGGCTCCCTGTAACTAAACAAAATGTAGAGTTAGTTTTATTTCACACCACAAAACAGAATGAGCAAAATACTCAAATTCAGTTTATCAGTGTAGTTAATCTCAACGTTTGTAACGTTACCGGACTTAAAGTGATATTTCAGGTTCACAACCGGTCTACCTGAGCTCCTGTTGGTCCGTTTATGGACATAATATGAAGTATAAATCATCTGTAAAATCGTCACAATCTCAGTAAGATATTAGTCAACCTCTGAAGTTTGAAAGTGAAGTTATTAAAAGTTACTTTCCAAGGCTTAACTGCCGCTAACGTTAGCTAGCTTGTCATCTAACGTTAGCTAGCTTGTCAGCTACAAATGTCACGTAACTTAACCGATCATTTTAACAAACATGTGATGTAATAAGCTCCCGGTAAGGGAGTAACGTATGTTAACATGAGGCATGACTATGTTAGCTCAGGTTAGCTACGCATGTATGATACAATTTAAAATAAATCCTATGAACTTGGTTTTCTCTGACCGAGAAAGTGGAGCTTCATGTCAACACAGCAGCCCTCCATGTCGTTCTTTAGAAAGAGAGAATCCACGACACTAACAACATGAGAACAAAGTGAAGTGCTGCTACATTTAAAATCATTTTTGACAAAACAGAGCAATATAATGGCAACTTACCTCCATGTCGCTCATCACAGTAACCTCCCGTCCGTGTTCACAGTGGAAGCAGATACCGAGAGCCAAGTCGAACCCACCAATAGAAACTCCTGGCTCATTCAGCAGCCTATGCCCCGCCCACTACATCCAAACTCAACTCGTAGTTTTTCGTTTTGAAAGCGTAGCTTTTTGATTTCCAGCCAAAAATTCTAGTTTCATAAGTAAA